GTGGGGGTTTTGTTGTGGGTTTTTTTTGTGTTGTTTTTTCTTTTTTTCTGGAGTCACTGAATCAGGAATACCTTTCACATCCACCCCTGTGAGCTTAGCCAAGGCAGACGAACAAAGATCTCTTGTTGTACACAGCTTTCTCAACAACTCAGGGCACTGTTAATATTGCCCTGTCAAATCAATTTATTTCAGAAGGAGAAGCAGCACCTGTCAAGGGAGTACACTGCCTGATAAGCTAGGGTGCTTCGGGGGAAGCTGGCCAAGCTTCAGATGACAAGCTTCATTGCCTGCCCCATCACCTGAAAACTTCTTGTTTTCTACGCTCTGCAGTAACGTGTTACACTGGATAAGAGTCCCGCTCGAAACAGTCATTTCACAAGGGCTTGGGAATTGACTGCAGAACAGCCTGTTACATTTTAGTTACCCGTGTTTGAGGTGGATGTCAATGTGAATTGAAAAATATATTTTAAAGTTCACATTAGGATATAGTGTTTGGTGTGTGCCAACTTTCTTTTTTGATAAAATCACTTTCTTGGAGTCTGAATTGTCTTCGGTCTGACTCCACATAGTGGCTCGCTAAAATACTTGATCCGTTATTTTTTCTGCTTGCTTGGTTCCTCTCTGTGCTCACGCTTGTGCGTGTCTTCAGAGGAAGGTGAGTTTTTTTTTTTTTTTTTGAGAGTACTTCGCAGCATGATTAAACTTGAAATTATATGCAGATTTCCGCTGGAGAGTTCCTGATAAAGTATTTCCCTTAAAGCTTTTTGAGTCAGGAATCTATCACGTTATGGGAAGCACAGAGTGATTTAGGGAGTGGGAACAGTTAAATAATGAACAAAACGGTACTCTCAGTTCATCATTTGTGTGTGTGCCTGTTGCCATGAGGGCTCAGATCGAGACTGGACTTCCTCGGTTCCTCCCAACTCTGCCTTTTGGAGTGGAGAGCATCTTACGGATAAGCAATATTAAACTGATAGATTCCTCTGATTGTACATTAGGGCTATGAAGAGCCTGTTTCAGATTGGATTAAGAGTCAGTCAGGTTGACTGTCAGCAGCAAAAATGCTTTTAACTCATCCAGTTGAAGACTAGAGTAAAATACTCCATGGTGTCAGGATCTCCAGAAAGCCCAGGGAGTTGTCCTAGGTGGCCTTCCCAGCCTTCCCCCCGCCCCCGTTTTAGCTCCATTTGGAGTATGTCTTCAGTGTGGCAGGCAAGGAGGCCTGTGTAGTAACATTTTCCTGAAGCACTAGTAGGGAGCCTGCTGTTGTAGTTGTGTGGCTCATTAGTGTGATGGGTAGTTGGGCTTGTCTGATCAAGAAGGTTTGGTTTGAAAAGCTGCCAACGGATTTTGAAGCCTGTAGTATTTGCTGCATAACTCTAACAGTTAATCCCCGTGTTTAAGAGAACGCTTTTCTTTGGCTTAATTTACTCAAGTGGCTATTCAAACAAAATTAAAAAGAAAAAGAAAAAAAAAACAAAGCCCAAACCTCTAAACCCAAACCAAACCTGTTATAAAACACTTGTCTCAAAAAGGTATAAAACCCCCCTATGATCAGAAATGCTCATTCTCTGTCCGTTCACTTCAGTAATACTCTGCAACAAAACTACTCTGGCTTCAGTCCAAAACCAATCTAAGAATGCACCAAAAATGTGATAAATGCTAATCAAATGTAAAATAATGAATCAGCTGTGACATTTTATTATGGAAATTAAACATCATGCAAACCCTTGCCTAAGGAAAATTGTCAGGAAAAATACTAATTTTCATGTGATAATTACGTTTTCTTTGCTTTTCATTTCCATGTCTAATAACGTTTCAGTTTCACTTTTTATAACAGGCATTTGTTATGAAAGCCATTTCAAGCAGGATTTAATTTATGGAATTGGAAAGGATTGCCACTCCCACTGAATAGTAGGAAAATAGAACTGGATGTAGGGAATGGTTGTGCTGTTTTGAGGGTCAGAAAGATCTAAAAGGTTGAAAACCAGACTTGCCAATGCGCTTTACCACCACCCTTCTGAGCAAGTATGCTGCTCTTGAATGGTATGGTGCCCGAGTGTCGGTGAATTATACCTGTTATGAAATGCTCCTGCGGTTTCTCATCTCAGGGAGAACCTCGGTGGACTGGTAGGCCTGTTCTAGGGGCGTAGTCCTAGGGGCGAAATGTTAATGATGGCTTTATTAATAAAATCTTAGTTTGCTTGGTGTGGGCCTGGTGGATTTGCCTTCAAGGTCTTTAATTTGTTGACCTCGTGTGGGTATGTATTGAATTAGGAGGAATCTCCCTAGCTTACCGTGTCTAGTGGCGTACTCACAAGCATACGGCATACCCCGTTTGTAAACTTCCTGAGCTCTGTCTTACGAGCAACAGATGTCTCCTGCATTTCCCCTTTCATAATAATCCTTCTGAATTTCCAGCTCTTTGCTGTGTTTGTAAGTGACAATAGTATCCTTTCTCAGGTATAGTTTTGCCAGCCTCGGTGGGTTAAGTTCTTCCATCGACACCTGTCAGACAGGATAGCTGTGCCATTTTTCTGTGCCTGTTCAGTTTGAATTTACCTTTCTTGAAAATGAGTGACTCCTGTTTTGCACAGTATGTCAGAAATGGTCTAAGTAGGGTCTTAGAGTAGTATTGAACAGACGATCACTCTATCTGATCACTTCTATTGTGATTATTGTTATTTTTCCATCCTAAAGTGACATTGGCCTGTTCCGTGGTTGTATCGCAACCATCTTGCGGTCAGTTGTTACGCACAGAATTTTCTCCTCATTTCCAACGGTTAAAACTCCTAGCTGCATGCAGAAGTTTTTTTATTAGTCTCCAAGCGCATGACCTGCCACTTTTGTTTCACCGAGTTTTTTCAGTATCTGTTATTCATCAAACCCATGCGATCTTTTCTATAGGTTAGTCCAGTCCTCCTGTCATGGCAGTGTTTTTCAACTTTGAGCTGTCAGCCGACAGATTTCATCAATGTAGCTTTACCTTTTATGTAAGTGTTACTCATTAAAATATTCAGTCAGATGGGCATCAGAGTTCGTCCTTGACATGACAATCCCCAGTAGTAACCTCTGTCTCAGCTTGACTTTATTCCTTGACACTGCTAATATGCAAATGTTTTGAGTGCGTTTCTTGGGAATATTCCAGAGTACTTCATATTTTATCACTTTAAAATTGCAGTGTACAGAAGCACTGCCATATCTAGGATGGAGTACACAGTTTTAATAGTATTTTTTCATTATTAAATAAAGGTATAGTATCAAAAATAAGGGTATTCAGTGCAAGAGTATCTATAAACCTGTCTTTTAAATAGTCCCACTAGTCAAACAAAATACTTGCACGATTACACCTGTCCTACTGATGAACATGAGCAATGTCCTGACAGTATTATGTTCCATCAAGCAGATGTGTTAAGGATCTCCTGAATTTGGCCAGGTTAAGCAGGGCTAAAAGCATGTGTGGCATGTAACTTTGAAAGAAGCCGAGCACACTTTTCTATCACCACAACTGATACTGCTTGGCCATTTCTGATTAAACCACCACTGGCATCCAGAAGACTTAGGACTGAGTTTTCATACCACAGGACCTTGAGCTAACGGTTCTTTTCCTAACCTTTCCTTTCCTTGGGGTCTCTCTTCAGCTGGAAATATTGTGGACTATTATTTTTGACACAATATGGGCGATGTTTTCTATTTTGTCATTATCTCTTGTTCAAGTGTCTTGACCTGCCGTGATTCAACTTAAGTCTCAAAACCAGGACACTATCACAGAATTTAATCCCTCAAGTCGGATCATTCCGTGAAAGTTTTCTTTATCTCTTTCTTAGCGGAATGGTTTTTGCTTAGTCGAGATATTTGTAAAACTCAGGGGCTTAAACTCTTCCCTCCCTCAAACGTCTGATCTTGCTGTTCTCTTTCTGATTCCCTTAAGCACAAACAGGAGATTTCATTCCTCTTGTATTGGTTCTTTCATCTTCTTTGTGCTTAGCAGGACGTCATGGCTTCTAATGGTCTCGTAACGCACTCGGGCTGGGCGCCTTGCTTTCTGGAGGCTTCAGTTGACACTGGTGGGATAAGCAACAAATGTAAACAGAGGGAGGCCATCCCAGCTCTCTGACTGGTTTGCAAATTATTGGAATAGATGGGAAGGAAAAGAGGAATAGAGAAAGCCGTCTGCCAAGGGTTGTAGTACAGCTTGCTAGCAGATCTACTAGAGCTCTGGTTTCTTTATCCTATCCAGGGGCTATATAGCATTTCATGGGGTCTTGGTCAACTCTTTTTTTTTTTTTTTTTTTTTTTTTTCTTTTCTCCCCACCCCCCTCAACCTGGCCATTCTCACTCATATGTTCTTTACTTAAAAAATGAAGATCTGAGTCTTCAGTTCACTTTTTTTTTTTAAACTTCTTTCCGTCATGCCTCTGGGCAGCTAACAGTTTGCTAGTGCCTGATTCTATAAGCACCAGAAAGTGTTTGGCAGTTCATAAAACAAGATTTCCCATTGTAGTATCACATTTCGTATCATCATTGAACGTGATATTTTCGGTGGCGTAGAAGTGTAAATGGATCTTTGCTACTTTCTTCTTTTGTTATATTATTTTTCTCTCCTGTTTGATTGTGATTCTTCTGTTTCGTGCTTGATAAAGTTATTTGGGAAGTTGTTTTCTGAAATTCTTCAGCTCTGAGGAAAGGCATGTGGAGGCTTGGCGTGGCACTGTAGCTGGATAGAACATTTTTGGCCTTCTACTTCTATAACACAGGTAAAACAAAGAAAGCCACTGCCAGAAAACCTAACGGTCTAGGCCGTCATCTCTTTAAACACTGAACAATTCATGTTGGCTATGTTACTCCTATACACTGTAAAGAATCAGTACTTTGAGACAAGCTGCTATGTGTCCCCGTAGGTACTTTGTATTTAGGTCTGTCAGCAAAGTATGACTACACAGTGAATGGTTGCCGGTTGCATTAGAGTACTCAAATATAACTTTGTTTTATTTAAACAGATGATCTGTCACAGCTTGTCCACTGTACCTTCACAAAGTCAGTGTTTTGACATTCTCCAGACTGGCATCTGTAAATACCTGGTAAGTACCATTTTGTCTTCTATGTTAGCTTCTTTGTGATAAATTTTGTAATGGTCTCATTAACCCTCAAATCCACTTATTCCATGTATTTCATGCATAATTTCAACATTTGCAAAAATTTTCAACAAGATAAGCAGAGTTTTAAAAAAAAAAAAAATCTAATAACTGTTGGTATCCGAACTTACATGGATTTTTTTGTTCCGATTTATGAATAGTTCAGCTTGTTTTCAAGCCAGGCCAGCCGCAAATGAAAGGTGTCTTGGTTTGGTTTGCTTTTCAAAACAGAGACTAGCAGCTCTAGATGAGGTTTACAGTCTGTCTTCTCCTTCTAATCCTGAACACGCCCTGAGCTGAGGATGGCAATGGCAAGGCCAGAGCTGGGTAACAGAACTGTCAGGGACAGAATTTGCAGTTCCCTGCGATGCTGCCTGCCGAGAGGGAGGACCTGCCTGTCCCCTCTCGAGATGGTTCTGTGATCTAACAAGTATCCGCAGTTCCCTGTATGGGTGGAGGCCTACTGAAAAACCGCTAAGACGAAAGCTTCCGTAGGAGTGGCTTACCTGTAACTGTAGTCTGGATTTTTGGGGGTAGGTGTTGACTTAAATCACAATTTTTAAATCAGCTTATGTGTTCTCCTACACCGTCTCTTTGAGAGTAAACAGTTAAGTGGATTTTTATAGCTGATTAGACTGCTGCCCAAGGTCTCTGACTGCATGATGGGCAGGGAAGAAAGGCACCGTGTAAGCAACATCCTATATGGGAACTTACTTGAGCAGTCTCATCTACTGAATTTGTATAAATTGAAATGTCTGTGTCCACATCATCTTCCGGGCTGGCTGACTGGTGCGTTTCATCAGCAGTGTTGGCTAATTTGATCTTCAGGATGCTTCTTTATATGCTTCTTTTTTCTTCTACATCCGTCTAGCTCACTATCATTATTTCCTATTTGGGGTTGGTCAGGAACATCGTTACTAGTTTTTATTATTTAGTGCCTCGATGTCCTGTAGTATTCAGCAGGGTCTTGGGGACAGTTGCGGTCCATCTCCTGTCACGCAGGAACGCCATCCGTCTCCTACCTCTGCAGCTGGCTGGTGCGGGGTCAGCGTACGACGGCGATCTGTGCTCGTGGCCTTGAAATACACCTAGTGTCTTACATTGGAAGTATTTCAAAGTTTGAACCCGTCACTGTTCTTTAGCTTTTCCCTCTCATGAGTAATCATACCAATGAAATACATTCCACATTTCTGTAGCTTGTACTTTATTGATCTTTTTCTAAACGTTTTTAAAAGAAACAGCTGACCTTGTGAAGTGAACCAACTGCCTCTGTCAGCTTAAAACAATGTACTTGCAGGTGAGCAAATTAGGCTGCTCTAAAACTCCTTAAATTAGTTTTTTTAATAAGATAAATGGTGCCACATTAGCAATGCATGAATTTTTTTAAATGGCTTTACAGGACAAAAATCTAGGACAGTTACTCAATAGAACTTTGAAATTTAAACTGCTTTCTAATTCGCTGCCTCTACCCCCAAAATATTTTTTCTAAATTATTTATCATGCCCATAAAATCCTTACTCAAGATGATGTTCTCATTTTAACAGCAGCAGAGTACCACCCCAGCTGTGGGCCCACCATATGTTTCCTTAGCTTTAATTTAACTGGGCTCATAATGCTCTCATTCCTGTGGAGCCTGTGGGATTTCTCAGGAGACTCACCCCCATGGCAATCCCGTAGAAGCTTTTCCTTCGGGAGAGTAAACCCGAGCTTCCTTCTACCTCAGGGACTGCTCGCTGCTGTTTCAAGCCATGGAAGGGCTGCTCTGTCCATGCTATGTGCTTAAAAGGAAAGGCCTCTTCTGTCCAAAAGATTCTGTTTGTGCCCGCACCATCTTTCAGAGCAAAGCTCGAAGCAGTGGTGTTTGGTTTTTTTGGTTTTTTTTAAAATATGGTTTAGATGACTGTTTATTTAGAGGGGATGGAATGAAGATGCCGGTTTAACCTGCTGTTGGTATGGGTGACAATTTCTTAGGAAAACAGGGATTTGAAAAAATGTAGTAGCGTGTAGAACTTGAACAGGAACAAAGTAATATGTGTTAGGATATGAAAGATTCGTTCAGCTCTAGACATGCTTGTACACCAGCAAAAAAACTTGTGTCTAAAGCGATGAACTTGTGTTTTTTTGTTTGAATACAGGTTGGATTGGTTGTAATACCCGATAGCACAGCTGGATCTGTTCTATGTGCCATAAATAAGCTCTTGGATCAAGCTTGCATCCTCAGTGAAAACCTGCACAAGTTCTTAGCCTCTTGTTGTTACAGTCTTCTGTACTTTCTGCTAACTTTAGACAAAGAGGATGCAGAACATGTACAGAAAAGGTAATGCTGCTTTTCTTACCATGTTAATTGTCTCTGCCTTTATACTTACAAGTATTTAGAGATGTAAAATGAAAGGATTCCCCCCCCCCCCCCCCATTTGTTTTGCTGTCTGTCTTTTGCTTACTTCAAAACAGTACTTGGATTTAAGAAAAAGAGCTGCAAAGATAGCTGGAATTATTTAAAACAATAACTGAAGAAGGTTTCATCTCAAATTGTTCTAGTTAGATGTCAGAACCATCCTGACTTTAGAGAGGTGGATCTTTATACCTTAATATTAAGCTTTAGCCTTTAGTTTTATTAGATACATAGAAAAGCAACATGCAAAGGATTTGGCTTTATAAGCTTGTACTCTTAACCGACTTGATATTTCAGCTTTAACAAAACTTCTCAGGCATCATTTTATAGACTGCAAATCCATTTGATTAAAAAAAAACAAACCAAAAGCTACAGATACCAGATTTAAATAAGTTTGTTTACCTGTATAACAGAAATGTCTTTAAAGAGTTTAAACTTCAGATTTTTCCTCTAACTGTTATATATACAGGAAAGTTGTTCAAAGCTTACTTAAATTTTAAGACGCGTTTTTAAAGCCGGTGTCCTCCTTCGCTTCATTTAATGACTTGCATATCACAAAAAGCTGATTCCATTGTCTGATTTCTTCTGAGTCTTAAATAAAGACTCGGGTGTACCTGAACAATGACTGAACCAAAAACCTCTTCCCAGCTGCATCAAGCAGAAATCACACTGTGTAAGAGCTTCAGCAACATTTGTAGCTCCAGGGCAGGACCTTTAAATTTTTTCCAGTGCTGTACATAATTTTGGAATATTTTCAAGTTTAGCATTTTCTGGCGCAAATTTTCTGCTTCGGCAGTAATTATGGTGAAGGCAGTCAGCGCGACTGAATTCAGAGGCACGTTTCCTTGTGCAGCTCTGAGGCTAGTTCACAGAAGCATACTTGAAATGTCCTCAGTCGTTGCAATTTTTGTTCTCTTTTCCTCTCAGGGATGTGCTGTGGGGATCGTGTATTTCTGCGTTAGCACTCCTGCCACGATTACTGAGACTGATGCTGCAAAGTCTGCAAGTGAGCAGGATCTGTCGGGAAGAACTGCCCGTTGTTGCTCAGTTGCTTCGCTTACTAATGCAACATGGTCAGCTCAGGAGCCATATGATCACTAACGAATTTCTGGTGCAACAGATTATCAAGGACATCATGGTATGAAACTTGTTGTTGTCTCCCACAGATTACAAGGGTATATAAGGTTTAAAAATTACTGCAAACACGAAGAAAGGATGTTTAGCAAACCACAAGCTATTCGTTATTATTAGGCTTTTAGTTGTCTTGGAAGTCCGGGCCGTGTAGAAGGCTGCTACTTGTCCGAGCTCCGGTGGTCATTGCACGGACGAGAGAGTTCTGAAGGCTAGCTTGCACCCAGTCCAGCCGCCCTGGACGACAGCTGGCTTCCTACCAAAGCGCACGGGGGGCGGATTACCTACCCAGCCTGTCTGAGGGAGAGCTCTCCCAAAATAAGAAACTACTCTTTTCTGTTGATTGGAGCAGGGGTATATAGGTGTACAAAGATGTTATTAAATCAGACAAACTCTCTTAAATATGTACCGTGCAAAATATATTCTTTCTCTTTCAAGTATTGCAAAACCCGGGGTTTCTATTGACGTGTCTATGTTCCAGTGGTTTGGAGACTATCACAGTTGCTTCTGTCTTCAGGAAAAAAAATCTGAAACTGCCTTTGGACAAAGCTCTCGCTAGTTTTTAGCGCAGAGAGTTTGTATGTCCCACGGCGTTGGATAAGCCACACGTATCCATTGGTAGCTTTTCAAAGGCCCGTTACCAGAAACGTAACCTCGGTGGTGGCGAAAGCACGTGTAAGAGATACCGTGCAAGTTCTCTAACAGAGAACCAACAGGTGGTTGGTTTCTTTTGGCGCTGAAAACGCCTCAGCCAGTTTTTGTGTTGTTCCGCTGCGGCTGGGTTGTGTTTGTTGTTGCTGGGGTTTTCTAACAGCTTATGAATGCTGAGGAGAGTGAATTACTGGACCGTGGGCTGTGTTGGTCTGTTGGGCTACGTCTGTTCTCCTGCAGACCGGGGTATTGAGCGCTCTTGCTTTAGCAGAACCACGCTCATTTGCATTTTAATGGACTATAAATTGCAGAATTGGAAAGTAAGCAAGCCACTAGAAGGGTAAGGAACTCACATCTGGTGAGTTGCATCACTGCATAATGTAACACCAACTTAGCGCACCAAGTAGTAACACTTTACTATTTCGGCTTTAACAGCCATAGCGTGTTAAAATGTATACACGAGAAGAATAACGTCACTGTGTGCAGGTGAACAAGGCCATCTGGTACCTTTAACAGCGCCCCTGATGAACTGTGGAAACAAAGCGAAGCTTTGCAAGTGCTGTGGGTGAAACTGAGTTTTTACCTTTTTTCCCCTTCTTTCCAGACACTGAAGAGTGGTGAAGTTCAAGAGCAGTGGCTAACAGACCTCCATTACTGTTTCAACATCTACCTTGCCTCTCATCCCCAGGGACCTGGCCCGATGAACGCAGTATATTAAAGAGGTCAAACTGCATTTATTGTAAAGCATTTACTTCTATTTAGTTTTGAATGGAAGATGTTGGAACAAAGCTTGTCAATTTTTTTGTAAGTGAAACAGAATAAAAATTTTACAAAGAACTGCATACCTCTGTTGCCTTTCTTTTCAAGCAAGTAGGCGTTACTGGAAGTTGTTGTAGTAGCTGTGGTGACCACAGTCAGGGGCGTTAAAGAAAATCCAGTCTCCTTGAAGCTTAAGTGCGTGCAGAGAAACAGACTTATATTGACTCCCGTCACCTGTTATTTCGAAGCATCATATTAATAAAAAAAAATTAAATTCTGTAATACCAACTAGAAGAAAAAATAGAAAACAATATGCTTTGAAACTAGAGTAACACTTTTTTTATTTTTGCGGAGTTCATATTTTTAAATACTTTGTGCAAGGTAAATACTGTACGCTGACAGCTCCAAAGCTATTGCAAGGACAAGTTTTCTTCTAAAATAGGTCCCATCTTGCTTTCTGTAGAAACTCTTTTTGTGCAGTATAAAAGCAGTTACTAATACGGAAAAAAATGGTGATAATCTCAAAGGGTAGAAAACACGCCCCTAACAATTTCCATAGGCTGTGGAAAGCAATTTATTTACTGAGTGTTTTTTGTCCACATCTCTACTTTTCCTTCCAAACCCACAGCTAGCTAAGAAACAAGTGTTTCTTTAGTACGGAAGTGGAGCACGAAGGCTGTTCTTCCGTTCCGGTTTAGATTTTGAAACACATGTAGTGAATCTGAGGTGAAATGGAGCGGCAGTCTGTCGGAACGGTTACGTCTCTAGCACAGTTTCCCTCTCCTTTGAAACTGCGTTTGATCAACACATTCAAAATTCCTACTTTAGACAACGGAAAACTTTGGGAGCCCCTGCAACTCTATTGTAATGCTGGGCTCAGAGCTTCATTTTCTGTTTCCAAATGCAATTCAGATTTCATCCTGCCAGTAAATAAATTAACGGTTGCATTTAAAAACTAATTTGTACACAAAATAAAATGAGTCCAACTCCTTAGAAATCTGCTTGGCCTGGAATGCTGAGATAATACAAAACTGAAAATTTGTTCAAGTTTTAATATGTTGTAGGCGACTTGTACATTGTGAAAGATAACGGTTGTACCGGACTGTGCTTTTTAAATTCCGAACAGTCAGTTTTGCTTAGTGCTTGAGTCTTGTATTTCTTGATTTTGCAGCAGTGGTTGGTCTCATGTTGTATGAAAATTGCTTTGATTCTCCCATGTTCTCCAGCAAATTAACACACTGTAGGTTGTTCACTGTAAAAGAACAACATGGTTTTGTGAGTAACTCGAGTGGATAAAAAGAAGTTTAATCTATGCTGCATTCTAGATTTTGTAACCAATGAACCTGCGAGGAAAAGAACATGCTTTTTTTTCCTGACATCTCGCTGTTGATGACCTGTAAATAGTTGGGCTTACATGGAATGCTCCTGCGTGTGTTCGGCGCAGCCTGTAATAGAATCATAGAATCGTCAAGGTTGGAAAAGACCCTTAAGATCATCGAGTCCAACCGTCAACCTAGCACTGCCAAGTTCATCTATACCATGTATCTATCCGCTCTTTAAATACCTCCGGGGATGGAGACTCAACCGCTTCCCTGGGCGGCCTGTTCCAATGCTTGACCGCCCTCTCGGTGAAGAAGTTTTTCCTAATGTCTAACCTAAACCTCCCCTGGCGCAGCTTGAGGCCGTTTCCTCTCATCCTACCGCTCGTTACTAGGGAGAAGAGACCGACAATAATAATAATATATAAATAATAACAATAAATAATAACGGAGCTTCGCTTGAGATTCACCCTCATCGGCGAACGACAGTTTGCGGGCTGATGGGTCAGTCGCTGACACCAAGCTCTTGGCTGACTTTGCTGAAGAGCAGCCAGAGATTGTTGTTGAGCAATATTTGGCAACGTTAGGTACTGGGTCAGTTCTAGAAGGCAGGGGAAACCAGTCCAGGCAGGGCTGAAGCGAGCGCTCTCCGAATTATTAGAAAGCAAAAATGAACGTCAGCTGACCGTGCTCTTCAGTTTTGAGTTCAGCTGAATGTCTGGACTCATTCCGTGTTTTTATTTACTGTAATGTGCTGCAAATAATATGCGTGTTTTCCTTTCCCAGTTTTGTGGAGACTGGATGCAAACGTTTCAGTGCTTTATCCCCTTCTGGCCAGGGTCATCCCAAGTGCAAATCTGAACATTTTATTGAGGGGGTGAACCCAGGACATCTTAAGGATGTCTTTCTAAGGCCAAGAATCGCAAAACCTCCTCCTTTACAACTCTATAAACACACTTCGATGTCCCCAGTGAGACAAAAACGGGCTTATCTGTCTGGCCTGCTGCAGCGAGCCTCTTTAAATGCCATTCGCTGACTTGACAAAAGGCATCTATTTAATAAAAAAATACATTAAAAAAGGAACAACTTTCAGGTTCAGAAAGGTTCTAACAACCATAAAGGCCCTATTTGCCAGAATATTTCGAAGTGCCTACCCCACGGCTGTCTGTCCCATCGCAGGCTCCTCCGCTGCCTGTCACCCTCTGCTCCCCCTGCCCCTTTCCTTTCGCTGCCTTCCGCGTGTCCCCACGCCGAAGTGTTGGGCCTGCTTATGCCAAGGAGTTACGGGAGTCTGGTGTCAGTCTCCTCTTACAGGTTTGTCACCGCGTGCTTTTTCCACTAGCTATGAACGTGAAAACTAGGGCTGACAGCCCGCCTTCACCTTCCCAGGCCGCCCCTTCTGCAAGAGGAGAATCAAACGGAGCAGCCCGTGCCGACCTGCTCCAGGCACCCTCGCCAGAAGCGGGGGAGCTGGCATTCGCCACTGACAGCTCTGAACTTTTCCAACAAACGTCACGTTGTCGTGCACGAAGGCAGGCAGGTGAAAAACATGTTCTTGTCTTTAAGTAAGGGCGAAAGTTCCCTGAGCTCCCATTAGGTGAATAAAAGCAGGTAGTGTTCTAAAGGAACTGGGCAGGCTTCCTATCGCTATCCTATTCGTCACCAAGTCATGAAAGCAAAGGACGCTTGGACCTCAAAAGAAAGCCTTTTTATTTCAGAAGACAGGGAGATCTGTTGTCCTGAAAAGTTAAACGAAAAGAAGCATTATTTGCTAAAGCTCTTTTAAATTTAGATTCATGCCTGCATGAAGAGGTGGCAATCGGACACCTGGCCGGTCACGCCTCTTAATTAAAACAGTTGTTTTCAAAAAGCGGAAGAAAAAAAGCCTCTATCTCTTAGCGAGGCAGAAACTCACAATTCTAGTGAACTCAGGGATAGGCCTACTGCCAGCTTGCCTTTTGACTTCATAGTTTTGTAGACCAGTTGGAAAATGTATTTTGCTTCCCTTTGCAAATTATCTGAGCTGCTGTCTCCTCGAAGCATTTGCTTTGGTGCTGTCTCGCTGGGGCCTGCCTCTGAGCTACGCCTGCTACAGCCACACGGACCAAAGGACCACCTGGGCGCTACATCTTCAGCTGGCGAGGCACTAACCTTGCCAGAGCTCCCGTCCCCGAGTGAGTGAAAAAGTCTTAAAAATGCTGTTCAGTAACGAAGTAGGAGGAGAGATGACTATGTACTCTAACCTCATTTTTAAGCTGTATCCGTCAAGTAATGTCACATGCATAAAACTTGCAGCCTTTAGTGACTTTGATGATACTTTTACAATCTGTGTTCTTCGCTGCCATGCTGTATCCCGCGGCGCAGCCCCATCTGCCTGCCTGCACGGCGTGACAGCCCCCGCTGCGCCAGCCCTACTGCCCCGACAGCAGTCCTATCATACAGAGCGTCGCAGTTACAGACAGAACTAAGGCTTTCCCAAGGAAGACCTGGTAATGCCTACATGGCTTTCGAGTTAAGCAGCAAATAAACGCATGATTTTGTTAGCGCCTTAAAACTTACTGCGAGTAAAACTCTGTGAAACGATTGAGGGTCTGTGCACAGCGCAGGAGCCCCCGTTTTAGAAGAAAGGGCAGAGATCGGATGAGTAACTTTGGACTGCCAAGTTTTTGTCCATGCGCTAAACCAAGTATTTCTAACAAACAAGCGTGTACATTTTTGGCACACGTAGAAATCCGCTCGCTTTACTTCTATAGGACTCGTAAATACTTGTGCTGCTAAACCAAAGTATGAGCACCTGTAAGCAGTTTTAACCACAGGTGAATGTTATCTATCTATCTGGCTTATCACTGTGTGAGTCCATTGTATTAAGGTCTTTCCTAGTAGCAGCCCAATGAAAATAGGTTTTCATATAACTGATTCAACATAAGGATAAAAGTACAGTGCTCAAATAAGTCCGAAAGTAGTGAAAGAAAGAGCGTGCAGTCACAACAGCTTGGTAGCAGTTACACGTTTTGATATGAGATCTCAGTTCTTGAGCAGATTTTTTTCTTTTCTAAGAGGAAACCGATCTCGTACACATCTATATATACATATAAACATTACTCTTAAAGTGGACGTGTCCTACCTGAGACCAGCTGCACATCAGAAAGTTTCAGCTTAGAAGGAGGTCTCGTTGGCTGATAGACTTTGCCTTCCTGAGAACGTCCTTTAACAAACAACATGAACAGCTCTGTGTTTATTCATATAAAGATGTGGTTATGTATAGCTATAAACTATTTCACTAGGCTACAGCATTATTTTATTCTAAAGATTACTCTCATTTATGATGAGGAAACTCATGAGACGCTCTATGTGACAGAAAATTCTGACAACCACAACTGGACTTCGACTAAAGTTAAAATACATCTTGCAGTTGCAATAAAGAAGGAGGAAAATAAAATTATTAGCTTTGTTTATTTATTTATTTACTCCTTTTTGGCTATCTACAGAGCCATGATCGTAGTGACTTACCGCCTGGTAAAGCACATCTAGTCAGCACGGCCTTACTCCAGCAGTGATCCCCGCTGTAAAGGAACTCAAGGTTTAAAAGCAATGCTTTCCCTCTACCCTTTCTTCAAGCCGCATTCCTTTGCACCGCGCGCGTTCAGGCATAGCGCAAAGCAGGGCAGCGCTATCGTAAAAGATGATCTTGCTCTTCCAATGAAGAGCAGCTGTCTTCACGCAAAGTTATTAACATGGAACAAGACCATATTCTTCAAATGGAA